AAGTCCAAATTATTGGGAATAGTGCGTTCTCGACTCATTTGGGTTAAAATGTCAATCACTAGGTTCATCCAACCGGATTTCGTGGGGCGCTGCACAACTAATGTAAATCTATTGACATTTGCCGATGCAATGGCGTCGTAGAATAATGAACGCGCAGCATTTTCATGATGTATCCGGAAGATGAGTGCGTAAGTCATGTGCGTCTTAGTTCACGCATCTTTGGATAAGTAAAAGTGGCACGGATCACATCAAAAACTTCTTCGAGCCACCTGATGTCATTTTAGTTTGAATCGCTCAACAAAAGTCTACCGCAAGTAAATCATATGTGATCCTGATATGGACTTGATCGACATCTCGATTTTTACAGTAGCTATCAGGTGCAATCTGTGTTTAAAATGAATAAGAATCGATTATATTGATAATTGAATCATGAGAAATTACTAATAACATCGTCCCTTGTGGCTACCTTAATCCAGCTTGAAAAACTCACTTCGTTTTCAGTGGCCATACATGACTACGAGGCGGAAGCTTATCTTCTTATCCGCGTATTTGATCGAATGCTGGAGGTTTGAGAGCTGGCCAGTCTTTATATCGGGTTTTCAGGGAACCTAGTTTTGCTTCTACATTCATGTGGTGATAAGTCAGAAGAATACGAAACACTGAGTTACTAGTAGCAACAAACCGACTTTAAGCTCTCGGGAAGGGTGGCGCGATACCTCTTCCAGCTAATGGGAAAGTTAGCGGTTAGGTACTCAATAGCCCATCACATTTATTGCCTATTTTGTGAGAGTCGTATTTCAAACGCAAGCTAATGAACAGTAATAATATAAGGTAGAAAACTGTCCTTGTGTAATCGGAAGCCTGACCAAAATGCCATGGACTCTACTCGAAAATAGGGACAGCTCCCTAGGACATATTGGATTGAAAGAGAAAGTAGAAAACCATTGTCAGCCATCAACATTACTGAGTGGTGTCAAGATCTTGTGTTTCGGATGATTCGACAACAGAGCAAGTATTTGAAGGTTACATAGTCACCGAATTTCGCCGTCATCATCATCGACAGCATGACATCAATGTGGAACACCTATGATTCGCTACCATAAGACGATGGTTTATTTGAATGCCCTGCTTTGAAGAAGAGTTAAAGTAAATGAGGAAGAGACTTAGTGCTAGCGTACTACAGTCATTCCAAGGTGCCTACACCTCCAGACAATCATTCGGGCAATCTGAAAAGGGACTGACGACAAGAACACCGTTGACATCGGTTGGTAGGTGCAGTGAGGACCATGCGGTTCCCATACTGGAAGGTGAGCAACACCGGCAGCACCCAGCAATTCCGTAATCTGTGAGAATTGAGTTTCGTACGTATATCGGTATAACCAGACGAACTAGAAATCCAGAATTCAGCGAAGCGTAACAACCAGCACGTATGTATTCGAATTGGCGAATATGTACAGCATATGGAATATTAAAACACGAGAATAATGAGTTGAGCAACGAATAGAGTATCAGTCATGCTCATCACAGTGTTCATCAAGGTGCCTACACCTCCAGACAATCATTCGGGCAATCTGAATAGGGACCGACGACAATAACACCGTTGACATCGATTGGTAGGAGCAGTGAAGACCATGCGGTTCACATAAAAGAAGGTAAGCAACACCGGCAGCACCCAGCAATTCCGTAATCTCTTGCAGCTCTCTCTGCCAAGACAAGAGTTGGCCACCTGTCTGCTTCTACCACTCTGAACTGGATCTGAAGAAAAGCGCCCTTCGGTAAACAGTGGTTTGCCATGCGCAATACGCGACAGCCGATATGACACCAATTTATTTGTGTGTGTGTGTGTAATTCATGGCTGTACATGGCTGTGATACTGCGCCGACACCTAGACAGTAGGACGATTAGGGTCATTAACCAAAACCTTTCGTTCGAAAGCCTGACTACAAGGCAGTGGTTTTTGGTTGGAAGGCAAGTACATTAGCTTCTCTACGGAACATGTCGGCACACACTCAAACACCCAACCTGTAGTATCTGGGGTCTGTCAGTCAGGCTTCTAAACATTGACCAATCTGTATGAGAGACTGACTATGGGCAGCTCCCCCACCCCCAGTATAGCTCAGTGAGTTTGCGGAGTTACACAAACCGCTACACCACTTTTGCCGTAGAAGGCGGAAATTCTCTTTATTCAGTGTTTTCATTTTGTCTCAAGGTATACGTGTGAAAGCCACTTTTCATCTTTTGTATAAACTGAAGCGAAAGGAGGAGGTAGCTCAGTAGAAGCTGCTACGCTGTTTCTGGTGTGGCATCTTCTACGCCAGTTGGTATTAGCCCTCCTCTCTCAACTCAAACTTGGAACTCTAGTTCTAAACTTTTGTACTGAAACGCTTTTAGCCAAGATGTATGATCCAAAATGATGGGAAACAACTATGTGACTATCAAACGGTGGTTGGAATATAATTTTGCAGTGTTTTTGAGGGAACGTCATTTCGCTAGAATGTCGCCAGAAGGAACTGAACGAAAGTTGAGGGGGAAACATGATGTTAAGTTTCCCGATACCGAACAGGGTGTCACTCAGTTTGACGATTCCCGAATATCAGAAGTAAGAAATGGGTCTACGGTACTATCTACAGTAAGCCTCAATTACTCATGCTCGCTGCGTCAACAGGTGTGAAACTACAGTGTCAAGGTCCGCACACCAGACAACGGCTGGCGGAATATTGGCTCGATAATGTGAGCCACGTCGTCCTTTCAGGGGCCAGTCTCGTGATTCTGACTGGTTGTGCGATCACGCGGAAATCGCGACAGAACAAGTCAGGGCAAGCTCACCAGACGGGTCAGTTGCGCACATTCGCACACATACTCACATGCTAATATTCCGGTGTCGGTCGGCGCGGTTTTTAAGGCAAGGTGAATGGCGGATACGAATGAGCAAAATTACTTTAGTGGAGTAGGCAAACGAATGGTTTATATCGCGAATATAACTGACAAACTATGCTGTAAGATCAGTGAACCGGTCAAGTTTCTATTGTCTGGCATACGTAAACAATGGCATTCGTTAGGTATATCAGGACTACAATATCAGTTGAACTTAATGTGGAAGGATGACATGATGAGCAGCACACAATTCAGTGGTGTCATGTTCCCATTGATTTTCGTCGTTTTCATTGTTACGAAATAGCACACCGTTGTAGTGCAGCTGATCTATTCGCGTTACCGGCCGATGGGCTCCATCCACAGATCAGCTGGGACGGTACTAGTCAGATGCAGCCCTAAAGATGTCTAGAATTAGTTGTTCCATCATCTTTGCACGTCATAAATACTTGTACAGATTTATCAGAACATTCCTCAATTAGAGCCCACTCGGTCAGGCTTTTCCTTCTTACCCACAGTCCAAGTTATGACAGCCTTCTTGAAAGATTACCTTGTTTGGTAACCTTACTTTAATAAGTAGTTCTCGGTGACCTGGACCTGAACCATTAAGAAGGTTCACCGTGTTATTTAGTGTCAATCCTGCAGGTGCATCCACCTTGGGCAAAATGGATGGTCCAGTTGCATCTTGTTGAAAGTTGTGTACAACATCCAGACCCATGCAAAATCTCATCGCTCCAAACATAGAACGGTAAAATTCTTAGTGGAAATTTCATCTTGTCAGTGAAGCCTTCTATGCTGAAAGGCCGAGAAACACTGTACAGTTGTTTATTCCTTGTTGCGAATCTCACGAAACTCAGAGCTTCGAACCCGCGACCGTGCGGCCAGTTGTTGAACACTTGGCCAAGAGTGACTGATCAGTAATGCGATCAGCTCTCACTAAGACTGTCGATGATTCTCAACAAGGATGAAAGAGCTGTGCAGTGCTTCTCGGCCTTCCAGCATAGATTGGCTTCGTTGACAGGATGAAATCCCCACAGAATATGCTCAAATCTCCTCATATTACTACAAAATTCTTACTAGTGACTCCCAAGAGGCAATGCCGCGATTAGAAGCCCTTCCGGGGTGTTTATTCGATGGGAGTACTGCTTCATCGTGAAGCGAGTCACGCCCTAAGTGTGAATAACCCTCGAACTCAAAGTCACCGTGTGAAAATTCACGGAAATAAACTTTACCTTTGACTTTAGATAAATTGTCTCAACTCACTTTCATGTGATTAGGGCGATCGGTACATCTGACGTGTTTTACCACCGAGGCACTTAGCATATTACAGATTTTTTCTGCTACCTGCAGTAATGCTTTGGAATCCATCGTTGTTAATCCATACTTTGATAACATAACACTTCATAATTATATTCATGTTTCCTTGATATAAATTTTTGAGAATTACTCATTCGTTTCTAAAGCGGCCAAGTTTTACTCATACCCAAACAAAAATCTAACCGATTCGGTTGGTCAGGTTAGAACTCAGCTTAACTTTTGGCTTGAAATAGCCTGTCCTGATACCGAGTAGTTGCAAGGAATATGGCAACAGATTTCAAGTTAAAAGATGAGAACCGAGTAGAGAAATCGTCGATCTCTTATTGCATGCAATCTCCTCTGGCGGATTGAAGCATTGCCCACGTGCACATCACCATTCCGATGATCGCAACATCACGTGACTGTGTCAATAGTTTAAAAAAGATAATATGCTACTCCAAATTCTCACAAACTGTCTCTTAATTAACCATTGAATTCCGTGAACCACAAAACCACACCAAACCCGTGAAATGTTCATTAGAGCAATAATCCATCAACTAGATAAAGCGAGGCCGTCGCACTTTGCTACGAGATCCACCACGTTTACTGGTAGTCAGGCAACAGTTTATTTACACAAAGCCTTTTTGGAAAAAACAATCCTGATTGCAAACTTGGTTCTACTGGTCACAAGCGCGTGTACGTTCTTTGTGATACCAATGGTACAAATAGATGTGTATTCAACTGAGTCATCAACTAGTAAGTATTCGTACTCATAAAATACCTTACCTAGTCAGACTCCACAGTTACCTGGTCAGCCTATTCTTTCAATTCAGGCAACCGAGCGCTATATGCCTTGCTCGAAAAAGTGGATAACTCCACCAACACCACCGAACTGCTTGATGTGGCATCAGAATCGTTCAGAAGTAAGACTTAACAAATTGTTGTTACTGTTCCCTAACATATACAAATCCATCCCGAAGAATAACCGCAGGTCCGTGCCCATATGAAATCCCAACGCTTCCCTTACGACATCAACCAATGAGCATTGGGCACCTTACGTCTACAAAATGATGTCCTGAGGGTGGTGACTGGCGTGTGAACGCAGTTTCAGCGATTCCTGTGGTAAAACAAATACTGTTAGAGTTCGTACAATAGGAAAGCCTGGAGTGAAAAAAACTGGAGAAAGGGGGCTTTAGAACCTCATTCAGACAGACCTGGTCGACCAAAACCTTTCCTTTTACAATGTCCAGAAGCCGCTTTTGAGACTTCATCAAAAGTGGCTGGTTTGTTTGAATGATATCATATTGCCAAACGTATCTACCCCGAGTCGTCTGGTCTACGGCTTCAAGCCAACTTGTTTTTACCAACTTATGTGGCCGACTCCAGTACAGATCAGTGGTGGCGAATGATTTTAGAACCTTATCGTGGACAGCCAGTACACTGTCGACATTTGATGCATGGGAGTGACCAACCAGTTGATTGGCGTTTGCGAGAGACTCAAATGATCCAGTATCAACTGGATTTCTCGTTTGTGATATTATTCAACCGAATGTGCGACGCATGGGTAATCTCAGGCTACAGCTGATCTAAGATATTCAAGATGTCGAGATATTTATCTACTGAACGATAATCACAGGCTTCCGTATAATAGTTCATCCATCCAATACCCTTTCGACCCTTTTGGAGTTCATCAAGTCTCTGAGTTACCATTAGTAATATTTTCTACTTCAACAGCAGACTTCATGTTAGTGAAGTGTTACACGCATTTTCAGTTGGACTTCGCTTCGATAGGAGAATAGACAAACCAGACTACTCCCTAAAATGTCTATCAGATCTATGTCCTAAGCATTTCATTAACGAAAGACTAAGTTGGGTTCCAAGTGAGTCTTCCATCGAAACCCTATTGATGTGCAACTGAACCCGTTTGTCGAAATCTGTCCAAGGTGGCTTCAAGCAGAGCATGAGGTTGACAGGAACTCTGGGACTGCGTCTGTTTGACTAGCCTTAAGAAGGTCCAACCGGTCACGGGCTGTCGAAGCGTTTTTAGCAAACTTATGACTAGTGCATCACACCCATTACTCAATGTTGTTGTAATATATTTGTGGATTTAGGGTAGCTACATACATGCTCATGTATAACCATGAAAAAAAAAACATAGAGAGTACGAATCAGAATACGGTCACCAGAGCCTAAAGTACAACAAGAAATTATCTCATAATGTTGTTTCTTCGGTATTGCAGAATTTCACCAATTGGACTCAGACGGTTTAAAACGTACCTTGTATCGTATATGCTACCTAGGAGATCAGTCAGACACCGACTGAATAGATTTTGTTTACGGATAAGTTAGTTCACCAAACATTAGTGCCCCGTGTAGTCAAAGCTGACCTACTTTGTTTTCCATGTTTATACGGGAGCCATTTTCAGGTAAATACACTCAAAATAGCGAGACTTCGCTTATTCCGCATTTAGTGAACTATTTTTCAAATTGAAACCATTACCAAGAATGCACAAACTGAATGCTGTTTCGTGGTCCTTAAGTAACAGTCTTAAACGTTCGTATGGCCGGGCGTTTACGTATCTGACCATAACTTCAGCCTAGAAAACAATTTATCCATTTCCGAGTTTTTCAACCTCGGTGCCAAAATAAACCACATTCTTCCATGCCATTCTCGTGAATGTTTCACCACTTCCCAGATGGAACTAGAAGCAGATGGCTACAGTATCAGGCAATATGGCCTTTTGACTTGATTTGTTGCTTGACTGCCCTAATGTTGGATATCATTCGTCGCATACGTCGAGCAAAGCGGTTGGCATACGATTCAGCCCCAATGTTCTGCATGAGCCTCATGCTCTTTACCAGTGGTAAGCTATACATTGTTTTTCTTGTCCATGTTTTTGCTGATCAGTACAAGTAGATGAAGATTTCTGTGGAATTACACCACCCAGTTTATTATTCTACCCTAAACTTAAGCATAAATGTCTAACATTAGTAGTTTCATCCGAATGTCTCGGTGGGATTACTCCAGTATCTATCATTAAGCCATCATCAACTGACTACCACCGGCATATTTTCTAATGTTTTCATTTATGAGCAAAATATGTTTTAAAAAATAGGTGCACCAGAAAACTCAGAAGAAGCACAGCTGTTGTTTCATGTACGATGGAATTCCAACTGATGAAATGGCACGCCCATTCGTGAAACTCGTAAAAATTCATTCGCCGATGTTTGTAGTCGAATGAAAAGAACGCAAGCGCATGGGAACTCCGCAGGCACCATATGAATTTCCGGTATGCAGAAGCCAAAAACAGTTGGAAGACTGTCTTCACAATCAAAATTAGCAGTGATTTACGATAGTGACGAATGTGACTGTGGAGGAAATAAAGATACTGTGACACAAAATATTTGCTGATGATGATATGTTCAGTTCTGAAAATGCCATTCTACTTCTGGTAAGGTCCTGGCGTGCGCATGGACGTCAAAAATCAAAGTGCTTATTCATGAGTTGTGAAGATTTGGAGCCACGCAAGACGATAAGATGTTTCGAATAATGAAGGTTTCCAAATGAAAAGTGCAAGTTCAGGTAGCATGAGCGCAGTTTGTACCACCGAACAACAGCTTATCGGACGGATGCTGTTCCGACTGTGCCACCGGGGATGCTGGCTATTCGTCATGCTTGTACCCCCGTCTCAGGTTTGTCTCTTCGTTTGTGCACCTCGTACTCGGGCTTTTCATTTTAGACCTCACCAAATCCCCTGTTACTGCTGATGAGTACTAGACGGCAAATCCAATTCAAATGCCTGTCACTCGTTGTAGTATAATAGTATTACATTTCGCTGATTAAAGCAACATACTATGATGGGAATTTAGGCTTCAAAAACCATTAGTTTATGATATGTCAACTTTGGAGATTAGCAAAAAGAAGACTGGCCTACAACTATGAATCAAGAAACTAGTATATTTCTAGTGGTTTTTGCTTTATTTACAATGCAACTTCGATTGTTCCACAGGGTTTTTCATCTTCTGAGATACATACCTATGTTTTAATGTCGTTCTTTTCACTAAGCAGCTACCAGGCCTTTTAGGTGTATACGCGTCACTCGATGTGCGGTCTCTAAATATTCATTTTAGGTTAGAAATCACAGCTGTTGATAAAAAAAGTTGAATTTATTTATTCATTAGGCGAACGAGCCAACAAAATGGGAAACAAAGCAGAAAGCTCGACATAAGATCGAGCGTAAAAGTGACGGCTCACAACCGGTTTCCACCTCCATCATGTGGTCCTCAAGCTTCTGTCAACTTTTTGTTCTACTCGAACAAATGGAGCGTTAAAGACAGATTCATCTGAAACCTTAGCTCACGATGTACCGTACAAGTGCTGTCTTATATTCCAGTTGGTACGATATTCGAGATATCGCAACATGTTTTCTTGACAACACACGCCGCAGCACCTACCCAAAGGGGACAAAACTAGCTGTAGGCTCTCGAACCTTATGAGTGGCCTTAATTCAAGGGAAAGTGACTATATATTTCAAAGTTGTACCAGCTGAAGTTAGACTGTGCGCAGAATGTTCGAGAATATCGTTAGCGAAAGATCTGGCTGGGATGCAGATGCATCCTCCGCGTTGTGATCCCATTGAAGCTATTCTTCTAAGTATGAATATAACATTGAAACCTTCCCATGTGAGTGTGCGTAAGGCCCAAAAACGTTCCATTCGCGGTACAGTTCACCAGTTATATTAGAAACAGTGAATTTCATAGGCAACACGAGTACGCATAACTGTCTGCGTGCAACTTTTGTGAGCATGTAATCCTAGAGAGGAATTTTTCGCCAAGACTGTGTGAATAATCTACACGGTAACAGTAACAAACTCCAATTGGTAAACTGCGTGTCGCATGTGTAAAATACAGAGTGAATATGAACATTAGTCAATAGCCTGCAGACCAGTGATATACCCTGTCCTTTCGAAACCTGGCAGTTGGTCCAGAGATATCTTACAACCGGTTAAGAGCAAGGGAGTGGAAAGCTTCAGTAGCACTGTAATGTGCAAGACAAAGTTCAATTCTTTTGCAATCACCCAGAAATTATACAGTCACTATTTTACTTCCGATTATTCCAGCTTTCGTTCGCACCGTCTTGTGCTGTTTCTACTACGCCATTATCATTAAAATGACACATATGTTCGAAAAGTTGAATAGCATGCTTGGTTACGGGTCAATACCTGAATGGGGACCTCTTCGCTTCCGCATGCGCGCACCTCGAGAATTCTTCGCGGTTTCACTTTCTGGGTTGTTTTTATCTATGCTAACTCTCACAATGATTTTAGACTATATGGACCCAGTATGAGAAAAGTGCTACTGCTTTTTTTGGGAATAAACAGTTTGTCGATCCGACAACATGCCTTCTGGTAACCGGAGGTGTCAACAACTTACTGGAGGTTTACTGAATCGCAGATAGATAGAGACACAGAAAAGAACTTCTCTGAGGCAAACTGAATCGGTTACTATTTCTCCCATTTTGGCATAACTTCGTGGCAAGAAAACCGGAACGACTGCGAGTTTTATAGGAAGTTATTATTTGCATCGCACGTCCGTCACACGAAGGCCCTCTTGGATGGTGCGAAGTGTAATCCGCCCTGAGAAGTTCAGCTTCTTGTTACATCATCCCCATCATTATTGACCGCAACCCCACAAGGGAATATTGGTGCTTCATTGCTGAACAATCGTATGAATTTGTGTGAACAGAGTTCTACGAAGGAAAGAAGAAAAATAGGTGCGAGAGGGGAACATTGCTGCTCTGTGACAGATATCCGGGATGCCTACACCTTCAACACTTAGTCAAACAACCTAGGAGGAGGGTGACGGCATTTGCAACACTAGTATCGGTTGATCTCCATATCCGTCGGTGTCTCGAGTTGGGTGA